AAACTCATTGATCTAGATTTGAATTCCTCAACTTGTATCCACAAAACAAAGTCTTCCCTGGCCATGTAAGTTGGGGAACCCTGCTTGGTGATTCACAGAGATATTACCATATTAAAGATTCTGAGAGACCCCACAGCCATCTTTCTTTAATCCTGTGTGTCCTATGTTTATGTGACCAGAATGTGTGTCCCTAGTTCAATGCTCATTAACATTTCATGAGGGTGGGATTCCACAGAACACAGTCTGAGAAAGAATGATGTAGCATCTCAATCCATCAGAGCAGGGCAGGTAAACAGACAGCCCTCTGGATCACTGGCAGAACACGGAGGTTCTGGCCTCCGCTGTATCACCAACTGGCCATGTGGCCTTGGAGACTTAGTTACCACGTTATAAAATAAAAAATTTAAAAGAAACACTTCCCAAAGCATGCTGGGAGTGGGGGTGGGGGTGCCACACTATAAAAGGGATGGGAGCTTCTGTGACCAAATACATTTGGGAAAAGCTAGTTAAAGTGAGACAGGTTTTTCTTACCGCAGAAATTTTCAGAGACTTTTATACCCTCACATGCATGGACTGTATGTGAAGGGGGCTGTAGTGTGTAATTTAGTTGACCTCAATCCTTTTTCACAGTTACATACATGTTCAGTATATTGAGGGACACAATTTAGAAAATAACGAACTATCTCCAGGTTCCATCCAGCCTAAAGAGTCTAGGATTCTGTTACTTATTAATATTATTATTACTCTCCCTGTTTGCTTGGACCATCATGTGAAGTTTCCATATTGAAAATAGGGGCCCTGGTCTCTGCTCCCTGACAGCTGAGTCATCCTGCTCTCCCTTTCAGCTCCCTCAGCCTCAAGCATGACCAGCAGCTGATGGGCAGCGACCAGCCTTCCTCCGCCCCGCCCTGCGCAGGTCAGCAGGCCCTGGGCTCAGTGGGAGCTGGGGAGGGCTCAGTATCAGGCTCCTTCTTCTCACCCACAGCCTTTCTCTCAGTTTCTGGGCCTAGACTGGCCAAGAGTCACTTGTCTGAAGGCAGCCCCTGCATTTACCAGATCTCATAACAGACAGCAAGAGCTCTGGGGCGATTCCAGGGATCTGCTTAGACCTCACTCCAGTTCTGGTGACTAAAGAGAAGGGACCCAATCCAACAGCACAGCAGAGTCTCAGCAGAACGGTCTGTACAGAGCTCGCAGGCAGCCTTCAGCGCCATCCCATGCATCTACATGGTGTGTGACGAACCCAACTAGTTACCCCCATTTTCTTCTATTCTCCCTGATTCTCAGTCTGTGCCTCAGTTTCTCCTGTGGCCCATCCCCCTGATGTTTGCCCCACCGCTGACCCCGTACTCTGACATCCACAGTGGCTCCTCTTAGTGCTCAGTCTTACCAATATCTCTGACATCCAAGACCCAGTTTCTTCTGTCTTTATTTTTATGATCTCACTTTTTGAAGGTACTAAGTGCATGTGGTTAAAGGACCCTAACAGCCAGCAAAGTAAAAGAGAAGAGTAAGTCTCTCAGGCTCCCAGACGCCTGCCCACAGTCAACTGCTATTCATAGTTTCTTCTGATACCTTCCAGAAACAGGCTACAGATACACAAGCATGCATTTGCATAGTGTATGTATGTTCTTTTTTAAACACCTTTGCATCTTGCTTTTTCTACCTAACAATATACCTGAGAGATTCTTCCTTCATAGCCTATGTCGCTCTTGCATCCTCCTTTTTTGACAGCTGCTTGGGGTTCCATACACCAGATGTATCAATTAATTAACCAGCTGCATAGTGACGGGCATTGAGGTTGTATCTAGTCCCCAAATATTTCAAACAATGATGCAGTGAACATCCTCATACTCTATCACTGTGCACCCTGTCAGATAAATTCCTAGAAGCAGCTCTGCTGGGAAGAGTCCTGCCTTCAAAACTCCCACCAGCCTTGCCTTCTCGGCCTCTGCCCCAGCCAGCTCCCCACACACTACTGACTCCAGCTCCCACTTCTCAGATCAGCAGCCATGTCTACCATCCCCATGGTCCGCTCTCCTGGGCTCTGCCCTGCACGACCCTGAGCCCAAGCTCAGAGACCTGTATCTTCAACTGTTGCAAAAACAGTACAGTCTGGATGTTCCCTCGTCACATCAAAGTCAATTAAACAAAAGCAAACTCCTCAACTTTCCTCCATCTCCTTGAATTTGATCAATGAGACAATATATTCCCAGGCATGGCAACTGGAAAATCTGGAGTTTTGACCAAAAAAAAAAAAAAAAAAAAACAAAGGAGCGGTTGGGAGCTTCATTCACCTGCCAGCCTGAAAACAGCCCTCGGCCCCTCACCCAGACTGGCCAGGCACCCCAGTGGGGACCCCCACCCTGAAGGACACTCTCACAGG